TGCCTCTCTCATCATCCTCCCACCCTCTCTCACCCTCTCTCTCCAACCTCATACTCCTCTCTCTCTCTCCCTCTCTCCTCTCTCTCGTCCTCCCCTCTCTCTCCCTCTCTCTCCTCTCTCTCCCTCATCTTCTCTCTCTCTCACTCTCTCCAGCTCTCTCTCCACCTTCCTCTCCTCTCTCTCTCTCTCCACCTCTCGCTCTCTGCTCTCTCCCTCTCTGCCCCTTCTGCTAAAACTCTCTCTCCACCTCTCCCCTTCTCTCCTCGCGCTCCCCCCTCTCTCTCTCCACCTCTATCTTCCCACGGCGCCCTCCTCCACATGACATTCAACGCAGCCGTGAGGCTCGCCGGTGTTATGGCGGCTTTACTTGTCTGGTCGCGTCTGTTAGTTGCAACAGGTCGATGGCTACAGCCCGCAGCGCACCAGCCTCTCCGTTCACCACACGCCCACGTAGCCGCCGCCAGCAGGTAGACGTCGACGTGGCCGCGGTTCGCACGATCGCCGCCTCGCCACTGCATCCGACTCCGATCTGGCCGGAGCGAGCGGCGTCGCCGTTACTCACTGCTAAGGTTCGTGCAGCCGAAGCTCCACTCATTACACCACGCGTATTTCTGTTATGACGAGAGAGAAGCGATGAGAGAGAGAGTAGAGAATGAGACGAGAGAGAGAGAGAGAGAGACGAGAGAGAGAGAGAGAGAGAGAGAGACGGATTAGAGAGACGAGAGAGAAGAGAGAGGGGACAAGAGAGTGAGAGAAGAGAAGAGAGAAAGAGAGAGAAACAAAGAGAGAGATAGCCGAGAGGGAAGTTAGAGAGAGAAAAAGAGCGAGGGAAACGAGAGTGAGAGAGAGAGAGATGAAAGTGAGAGACGAAAAAGAGAGAGAGGAAGAGAGTGAGAAAGAGAGAGAAGAGAGAGAGACAGCAGAGAAGCGAGAGAGAGAGAGAGAGAATAGTAGAGGGAGGCGAGCGAGCGAGAGAGAAGAGAGACTGAGGAGAGAGAGAGAGAGAGACAGAAGGAGAGAGAAAGCGAGAAGAGAGAGAGCGAGAGAGAGAAGAGAAGAGAGAGAGTAGCTGAAGAGGATGAGAGACGAGCGAGAAAGAGAGAGAGAGAGAGAAGCGAGGAGAGAGAGAAGAGAGCAGAGAGAGAGAGAGAGAGGGGAGATTAGTCGACGACCAGCAAAGCATGTCGGCAGATTTCGTTTTGTCGAGCGAAAAATGTGACGGGTCGCTGTTAGTGTGAACTAATTCCTCAAAACGACTTTTGATTATGAACTTTTTAAACTTCCAGTATTGCCGTGTAAAGATGACCAGTACTAACAGGAATAAACCTACCTGTAGAGACCAGTACAAAAACAGTGAACCTACCTGTAGACGACCCGCAGTACACCAGGTGAACCTCCCTGTAGACGACCAGTACAAACAGGTGAACCTACCTGTAGACGCACCAGTACAAAGTAACTACCTGTAGATGACCAGTACACAACAGGTAAACCTACCTGTAGACGACCAGTTAACAACAGGTAAGCCTACCTGTAGATGACCAGTACAAACAGTGAAACCTACCTGTAGACGACCAGTACAACAGGTGAACCTACCTGTAGACGACCAGTACAACAGGTGAACCCTTACCTGTCAGATGACGCAGTAGCAAGCAGTAAACCTACCTGTAAGACGACCCAGTAGCACCACAGCCGTGAACCTACTTGTATGACCAATCCAGTACACCACAGGTGAACCTACTTGTAGACGACTCAGCTACAACAGGTAACGCACCTGAAGAGATGACAGTACAACATGGTGAAACCTACTGTAGATTCGGGACCCAAAGTACAACAGGGTGCAACCTATCCTGTAAAGATGACGAGCAAAACGTTTGTCTGAAATCCCATCCTTCGCGCCGTTGCCACGATACGCTACAACGCCTGGCAGGACGAGCCATCGAAGAAATCGTTCGTCGGACGGCGGTCAAACAGTGGAAAGAACAGCAAAGTAGCACGGCACGGGAAACTAGCCGATGGGAACCGCCCAAGCAGCTGCCAGGCGAGCGTGAGCAGGTCGAAGCGCAGTACAGCTTCGCAGAGATGCTCGTAAACCCGTTTGACTGTAGTACTCGTAGCCGCCCAAACACAAAGTAGACGGCGCGGAGGGCGGGTGCTAGACCCCGGAACGCTGTGTCCGTCACCAGACCTGAGGAGGACGACTAACGCCGTAGATATTATGGAAACGACAGGCCTGCACCAACGTGTGAAACTTGACGCGACCTTTTTCAATACTACTTCAGACTCATTTACAAGGGTAAAACCACACAATTAAATAAATTAAAATCCTCATATACATAGGATATCACATCAATAATTCAAACAGTTGCACAATATCAATTACATGATATATATAAACTTAGAGGCAGCTCGGAGAGCGGCAGACCTCCGCCAAGCAGCTCAATTCTCTCACTGTGAAAATTTTAATTATCTTAATTAATTGGATCCGGATCACCACGCAAAATGTAAAATTCTAATTACCCCACCTTTCTTCGACCTATCCACCTCTAAATTTTATGCACAATCCCCGCCATAACTGTTTCAGTAGGCTGTACACCAAACAACCAACGCACAAACCCACAAACCAACAAACACACCGCCGGTCAAAACTTACCCTTCCTGACACCTCTCCCTTGGCGGAGATAATTATATATATATACATATATAACATATATACATAAAAAAAAGCATGCCACACTAATATAAATAACGTAATCCCCGACCATTATCTCTGTACATGCACAGATAAACTGAACATTCGTACACTTACGTAACTACACCCCTCTGCAGCAACATTAACTCCAGCGCGTGGCGGCACTCACGATTCGGACGCGACGCCGTGCGTCTTGCAGGCGCGACCAGCGCTCCGCACAGGCGGCCGACATCACGCCAGACGGTACACAACCCTGCCCCGCGCAGAAGCCACCCGGTCCCCGGGGTCCGCGCCCGCGTAACCGCCCCAGCAGCCACGAGCGTCGAATCGCCGACGTAGGTGAGGTGTGTGGCACGCCACCCCGCAAGAGCACCGCCGCGGGCCCACGAGCCGAAGCGTCTGACTCACACCTCACTACACCTCGTCTTGCTCGGGCCCAATTAGAACCACCATCCAACTTCTCCCCCACTATACAACACTCCGTCTGCAAACATTCGACTAACCAAACCACGGGTACGTCGCTCACCCGGTAACCGCCGATGAGGCGACAAGGCCCGACATCTCCGCTGGCAGATCCTGCGCGGAAGAACTCCACGTCAGCGTGTAACCGTACACGCAATATATCCTCTACGCCCCCAGATCGGGAAGGAAGGCGCACAAAGAGAGGGGGCGAGCACGGCGCTGTGGGACAGAGCGAATTTTTGAGGCTTGCGAGAAACCTATGGTGAATGGTTGGATGATGAGTGTATAAGGGAAGGGCGCACGCGGAAATGGAGTGCAGACATGTTGAGGATGAAAGAAATCAATACCAAATATTAGACTTTTTTTAAGATAATAGCCGAAGTTTTATCACAAGATCACAAATATTGCCAGATTTCAACTCATAATAGCTAGCAAGCAGGACAACCACAAACTATCGGGCACACGGCACTCTGTCGGAACTCGAGCGCCACACGTGTAGCCGCAGCAAACACTGAATCGCTACGCGCGAGCCGCCCCGCGCGTGCGCACGTACGTACTCCAGCGTCCTCCGCTCTCCACCACAACCCCCTAGTCGCCTACTAGAGTCGACGACCGTGAAGTCGCGCGACGATGCGGGCCGAGGCCGCCGCTGAATGCCGTCCGTATGCATCACAGTCAGTCCCGTCGGGTCAAGCCTGCCATCGAATTCGTGGTAGCGCCCCGCCCCCGGCCCGCCACCCCTCTCCTCCCCCGCCTCCCCCCACAGCGCGATTACCGCGCCACGGCCCGTCGCTGTCCACGTCGTCACGCTGTACATGTCGGCGAGCTCGCTCCGAGTCCCTGAGCTGAGATGCCCGCCGTACGGCAGGAAGAGGCGGTTTGCCGTGGGCGACCGAGCGCGTGCGCGGAGCGGAAGGCGGGGCCGGAGTCGGACAGCGCGGCGGTCGGCAGGCGGCGACGGCGTCTCGCAAGCGCGTGAACGCGGCGTGATGGCGGTTGCGTGGCGACGTCGCAATGCCCCGCCCGAGAAAGGACCCCTCGTCACGCCACACAGGGCGCCGGTTGAGCATCTCGCGTGCGAGAAAGACGAGGAGGGGGGGGATTCATCGAGACATGAAACATGTGGGAGATGTTAGTCCAAATGACATACAATAATTGGAAGATAACAATAATACTGGCAGGCTCGCAATTTATGACTATTGCTAACTGCGGCAATAATGTGTGGCCGATCAAATTGAGGGAAATTGCGAGTCAGAAAATATAAGCAGGCTTGCTATGTGTTCTAGCGAGTGGAAATTTATAGTGCATACAGCCGCCATACACCTTATTATCCAGTCGGTCACGGAAAGAATTATTCATCATTAGATGGTCAAACCCTGGTCGGTCAAATTGCCCAGTATTTTTTGTAAATTGTAATCATTCCAAAATACTAGTTTATGTTGTACCAAAAAATTGGCATCGTGTCCAGAATTCATTTTAGCACGTATATTGTTTAGGCACTCGCGATTTTTCGCAAGTGGCTAAAATTGCGAAATTCGTCGCCTGTAATGTGGCAGCAAAATTGTGAGCTAATACTTGAATGATAGGGGACAAGATCATGTGAGACAATGAGATGATACGCAGCTGGCATAAACAATGCACCCCAATAATGTAGCAGCAAACCGGCGAACAGAGGAACGTAATGTTCTAGTAATCAGCATAAGCAACATAAACAATAATGTATATCAAACGACCAATGCGAGAAACGTAATTTCTAGGCGATGGCATATAAAATGCAACTAACGGAGAACAACGAGAGATGTTAATACTCAGCAAGAGGACGCCAATAATAGCAGTATGCTTGCGCGAGATGTCAGACAATCTAGAGCTATGGTTGAGAGGGCACGAGAGTTTGCCAGGCAATGTCTTGTCGGCGGACAGCGGTGCGGTAACGGACTCACGTGATCACAGAGCCCGAATCCCTGGTGCAGGCTCACACGAAGGCAGTTGCCGGGAGTGCTCCGTCTCGCAGCTTCCGGTCGCGCCGAATGCCACCTTGGCCAACCGCCAGGATGCCGTGCCGGCTTGCAAAACTCCGCAGCAGTTTCCGGAGGACAGCTTCCGGCCATGCCGTGATCTGTTCCACGGGGTAACGAGATAACGGCGTGTTAATCTAGGAAACTCCCAGACCATCCGATTATTGACCGCAACTAAATCGTCCGTAGCGACAATCGGACCCGGGGCGTCACCTGTCACGAAGAACGTAATTTAGTTTAATGATTAATATGTCGCACTAATACTGAGTTCTAGGACTATCATCTGTTCACATGACACTCGAAACGTGCTAGAAGTTATCGACGATCACCACCGCGCAGCGTCGTGAAGCCACCAACGGTGTCCGTGACCGCGTTTCCGAAAACCAGTCCTCCGATGTTAGCGTGACCGACCCCAAAATTCCGTCAATGTATTCTGCAGGCAGGATGTCAGGAGCTACCTGGAAGATGGCCGTGAATCGGCTGCCCCGCGTCAGGTTCCCAGTTCTCGTCGCGGTACACGGTCAGGTAGCCGCTGCGGCGCCTGCACCGTGAGCCCGCGCGGCGGCGGCGCCGGTGCGACCCCTGCTAGAAGGTCGGTTTCCGCCAGCAGCCGTGCCGCCCAGGCGCACCGCCGGGCGCCACCGACGCCGCGGCGGCGTCGATCTTCGCGCAATGGAGCGAGGGCGGGCAACGTCTCGTGTAGACGGTAGACGTAGTTCTGCTGTGCACACGACATCGACAGTCGTCGAAGCGCAGGCTTTTAACACGTGAGTCGAGATCGCGGGTGCGGCGGCGACGTACGGACCGACCGATGGAGGCGCGGCGGCGGAGAAGTCAGTCGTACGGGAGATGATCCACAGGCACTGACTGCACGAACAAGGAGAGCAAACAGACCTTGGAATGACTTTTTAGATATTCCAGGCCGGAACCAAAGCGACAATGACACAAGCGGTGAACATGGTGACTAATGTATGGTAGTGCAAGTGACTCAGGAATATTATGGACCAACAGAAGACCTCAAGGTTATTGACTCCTAGCAAAAGGAGATCAAGCTCACCCAGCGTCAAACGTATCTAAGAACGGCACAGGTAAATTGTGGGCAATATGTCTGGAAAGCACCGGTCAAGAAAAATGGACTCCTAAGAGTAAATGTTGCATTTCAATTAAGTTGAACTGCTATCAAGCCGGCAATATGAATAATGGTTCAAGAAACTATAAGAGTTATTACACGTGTAGCTGAATTCAATCAGACACCAAATGTATATTCATATGCTGCGTGGTGTGATATGTTATTACTCATGACCTAACGTCTATCCACTTATCCTCGTCTCTTTCATTGTCTGCACGCGTAGTCTTCATGTTTTCATTTTGGAATGGGTACGTTGCGGTCATATTCCTGATCTCATTATTAGTACTTGGCAAATGCTTATATAGTTCGGAAAACAAGAGTGCAAGCCAGCTGCTTCTCAGTTCTCTCCCTGTGCATCTCAGTGACCCGCCTCCTTCCGGTACTCGCCTCGCTCGCTCCCTACCGTGTTGGGACAGGTTTGTTAATACCTTCTTTCGACCGTCCCTGGCCATTGATTGCCGAGAAGTACCCTCCTAGCCACGTAGGGTATACATAAGTTGCGTGATGCAGTGGGCAGATCTGCACATGTCTACAGTTTCTTTACGGTATAAGCATCTTGCCTACCGATTTACTTGCGTCGTACAGCACATACGATGCGTTACCGGCTGATTTAAAAATAGAGGCATCAGAACTCGGGCGCGTTGTCTCACGCATGGTGAGGTGTTGTGGCCACCGATTCATCGTATGTTCGTCACTCGCTACGCATCTTTCGGAAAAACCATTATTAGAACTTTAATCGTAATGGAGAATGTACGAGTAGATATATTGTGTAAATATTGATCGTTATCAACTGTAATGGAGAATACGTGTAGTTTATACTGATGCTAATATATTACCATATGTTATATCAGCCGATAGGCCCATTTAGTGTTATGTAATGTAGTGTATTGTGACTGATGATTGTGATGGTGAGTGTGTATATTGTATAATGTTTAAGATGTTAATTGTTACATGGTCTAAGGCACGAATCCTAGCTAAGTCGTTCACGCGTGTAATAGAGTAAGCAATAATATCCGAATCTAGAACGTTTGACACGTATGTTCTATTCCTAACTAATGAAGTATATTAAAACATACATCGAGCATGAGCAGCTCACTTGTGAAATTAATTTGTGTGACTACGTAAGCACCACAACATCAGATAGAAGGCACAACGAGCGGCGGGCCTTGCTCTAGTAGCATAGCGTGAGTCATATATTAATCTCGCCGCAATTGAAACCCGAAGTTTAGATATAAGACATACATGATTAACACTATTCTATCCATAATTCGTACTTATCACGAAATCGCGCTGATTCCCGTACTTGTCAAGCGCGGTCTATAACATGTCACAAGCACACTACATCGATCTATTAGCCTTCAGTGCGGTTAATCACTTAACATTCTAACTTAGCATACTTGCTCTACTTATACATCTTGCTGACAGCTAATCGCATGTTCAGATCAGTGCATACTTCTGTTGCGTAAGCTAACATCACTGCTTAGATTTACTTGTCAATGCGTAAAGCGATCTAAACGCTAAATACTGTGCGCTAAGCTGATCAAGCGCTACATGTATGCCTTTTGCTGAACAATATTAACGAGTAGCGCTAATTCTGACTTGTGCTTGATAACGCATGCAGGCGGCTCACGATTAGTATTACTATGTCTGACACAATCGACTGAGCTAGGATTGTCGTATACTTTGGTGGGTCTAACTATAAACCATATGTAGAGAGTTACTCAATACTTATATTATCTGCATCTGATTATAAAGTTGCCGGGATTGGAGCGATACGTCAGTCGCGCAGCTACAACGGGCGTATGACGTTATGAGATCTTTGTCTAACATATGCATCGCTACGTATCTTTTCTAATGCCTGGAGTTATAACCTACACGTAGTAAACGAACGACCTTTGACCATGTTTGCCAACGATGCGTGACGAGCATATCATGGGTACTTCGCGTTATCACTTATAGCGAACACGCGTAATACTGCGTACAACTTAATTGCGCTACATGCTGGAAGCTTGCCATGCCATATATAGACCACCTGTGCGTAAATCTGTCATTTAGTGGTCGGTGTGTTATGCGCGCTTAATTAGAACTTAACGCTGCCAATTTATGCTAACAACACAGCTAGAGTTAAACTTGCTCAACACCCACAGGGCTGAATCCACTAGTTCGCGTATGTCGTTACCAGATACAAGTCACGCTTATACTATACTTGCTGAACTATCTAACGCTAAATTAGTCTTATGCGTCTAACCGCTCCGAGCGACTAAATACTTGAGCCTAACACTCACGTCTAATCACTATTGCTAACATCAGCGCGTAAATGAATCTGCTAAAGCATTAAATTACCGACTATGGACTATATTGTACTTTGCTTTGAACACTCCATCATTCATTGTACCTCAAGCTCAACGTGAACTTAGCTCATCCACAAATCTTACGCCAACGCGACGTTGCTACATCACCCTGAATCACGAGCTACTGATCGCATAATGTCTGGATGCGAAAGCTCTAGCAATTACATCGTATTTGCATTAGACTTAATATTCGTATTCGGCGTGACTTGTAACATGTGACTGATTGACGTCTAAACTCGCACGCTCGTAATATTGAGCTGATCGTGCATAACATCTGTAATCGACTATGAATCGAGCTTACCTGGCTAGAACAGTCATACAGCTTGAAGCAGACAGCTTTGCTATATCATGACACCAGCTACACATAGTTACCCTGAGTTGCTAAACATCAGCGCTATATTTAGCTTTGGTCCTGATAGCCCATACCTTATCGCATTAGAGCACGCCACGTGATGTCGTAAAAAGCGCAGTCGACCCGCTGTACAGAATCGACATTTGCTAACTAATCGGGTACGCTAAATCGTCAGCGTTCTAATTGTGGCTTAGACAGAATACACGGTGTCGTTTTTCTGATGCGCGCTGCTATTATACGGGACGTTCAACGGCTCCGTTTCGCGAAATCTTCGCCTTTGAACAGTACGTAACCGTCTTGCGGCATTACATCCTCGTCTTTACTCGGCATTTTTGCCGGCCCTCGCGGAAAGTATTCGGCTGCTTGCTCTTTCTATCTTCTTTGTTGATCTGAGCGCGGCAGTAGCACATGTTTTTCGGGTTATCCGGTGCTTGTGCGGCTGATCTGCAGGTCAACGCATAGTCCCTGTGTTCGCTTCGCGTCGAGTCATGTCGCACAGGTGTCGACGTATGGAGTACACTCGAAGCTGGATGAGAGCCGTGTTGGTAGCAAGTAGCGTGACAACTCCTGACGCGATAGCCGCCGTCTAGTTTTTGGACTGACGTCGCGTTGCCGAGCTGCCCTCCCTGGCATGAATCTCTCACAGTGCTCCGCACTGAAGTAAACGCATCAGCGAGCTCGTACAGTACAATCAATCTATTATCCGAAATTCTGAAACCGAAGAGTTTTTTTCGTAGGAGGTCGTCTGCACAACCGAAGCTCGCGTTTGGCTGCAGCAAGGTTCAGCTGGAAGAAATATTAATGTGTTTGGCATTACTACAATACATCCCATTGTTCTGTACCGCGTACAAAGCACGTTGCCCAGCCTTGAAAATTGCGTTCCTTAGTAACCCTGGCTAGTTTGGCAGGATTATACGGTCACACGTTATATCTGTTTCTTAGAATACCATTACTCCATTCTGAGAATTCCGAAAACATCCCCCGATATGACACACCGGAATTCGTGTCTGGGCTCCCACAACGGTTTAAAACCGGAAAATAAGATTGTAGTGACTGTACATTCCGCCGTACAAAAAACACCACAACTACAACGCTCCCACAACACGCAACCCCCAACACAACTATACACCACCAACCGCGGGGTCTGCGCACAAAGCGAGCGCGATGTTTTCGCAATGCCGTAGCCATAGCGCACGTAATGGTCGAGTCTATATGTACAGGCTGGGTGCGCCGTCGTTGACATTTTTACGAAACTTTGTAGTTTTGCTGCCAAATAAACTAGGATTTATCTTTATGTTATATTCAAGTAATTCGCACGATTTTTATTATTTCATTTTTGTGGCTTCTGTTTGACTACAAGTAGTCCCCTTCTTTGCATGCCTCACGAGTATGTTTATGAGCAAACGTGAAACAAGCAAGTTCAGGAGCGCTCACTCTTCGTCCACGTCTGCTCTCACAGTTGTCACATTATTCGCCAGCCCTTTGAGGACATACGCTGTGGTTGTGACAGCCACAGTTGACGGTGCAGTTTGACGCGCGGTCCAACCGCAGGTGATCAGCTTGCACTGTACCAGTGGCGCCCCCGAGCAGACGGCCCGTGCACGCATCTCGTAAATAGCAACTGCCAACGACACGAGAACTCGTTAAAGTAGAATGTAATAAAAGTAGTAGCACATAAGAAGTGAAATGTAGAAGTACAAGTTTTTCCGGTGTAAACCCTCCCCCGGAGTTATCCCACAGCTACACACACGGGATGAACAATCTAACACCACCAAAACCACGGTGTCGGCTCCATCATCCTACAACAGTCCTCTAACCCACCCCAACTCTCACTCAGCTACGGCGCGCGCCCACACGCCAAACACCACCCCTACTCAGTTTTGTTGCAGACGTCGCGGCCCGTTGGCCTACTTATATTTGAAGGGACGAAAAGCCCCGCTGGCTGCGCCAGCCGGCACGCGTACGAGTCGAGCGTGTTGACGCAGCGTCGCGTGTCGTGGCAGTCGATACAACCGCAGCAGCAGGCCGCACTCGTCGAACGTCGCGGTCACGTGCGCGTACGACCACTCGGCGGCCGGCGGTCGCGCGAAGCTCGTGCCGCCGTCACCGCGTGCCGGACACTTCACGTCGCTGTACGGCGCCGCAAAAGTCGCCGTCGACGCACAGACTCTGCAACGAACGACGCAGTCCCGGTGACCAGTCGCAAACAAAGACGGGTCGCGCTGCACACGATGTTTGTTACCGTGGTGACGAATGCTGCACCGAGTCGCCGTACGACGCGCAAGACTGCAACGATGTACGATCCCAGACGCAAGAGATGCCCACGAACATATTTGAAGCAATGTGTAGTTTTCTGGCCATCAATTAGTAGTTCGAGGGGCAGCGTAGTGACCCGAGTTTGCTAGGGGGGTCCGGTCATGCCCCCTGGGAAAATTTTTTATTCTGAGATTCAATTTTCGTGCATTCTGAGGGTAAAAATTGAACAATAAAGTTGACCAATAAATGAACAATAATTAACGCAAAATTTTTTTTTTCGATCACAGGTCAATTCGTAGTTTGATACAAACTGGTCGTAGTGGTGGGGGGCAAAAGGAATAGAAATTCGTATAAAATAACGGATTAAATCGTTAGTGGTTGGCATGCTCTGCAGACGGTACGCCGACGGCTGTTACTTATGTTCCAAGCACTGCTGACGGCGTGTCAGAAAAAGCGTGCAACGAACGACATCAGGCGGACGGACCGCGTGTACCGTCGGTGACCGTGGGGCAAACAAAGACGTTCCGCGCTGGGCAGATCGGATGTCGTTAACTCGCGGTGAACGAATGTGCAGGGCAGCACAGAATGTCGAATTATCACAGTGATGAAACATTGCCAGGAGACGACTGGTTGGATCACTTCACCACTTTAGGTAAGGAAAATATATGTATGTGTATATTTATATGTGTATGTGTATGTGTATGTGTATGTGTGTGTGTGTGTGTGTGTGTATTGTGTTATGTGTATGTGTATGTGTATATTTACATGTGTATGGTATGTGTAATGTGTTTATATGTGTATGTGTTTAGTATGTGTATGTGTATGTGGTATGTGTATAAATTTACATGTGTATGTAGTATGTGTATAGTGTTTATATAGTTGTATGTGTATGTGTATGTGCAGGCCCGTAGCCAGGGGGGGTTCGGGGGTGAACGAACACCGCCCCGAGACCCCTCCCCCCAAGCCAAAAATTTATTTTTGGGAAAATTTGCAAGAATTTGCACCTCAGGTGCGCTCCATTTTAGTGTAATCATTGCAAAATCTCCACCGGCGGGAGGGTGAACAGTGAACACCCCCTCCCACACCCCTCCCCTCCGCTGCGGTTCGCTTGGCTCCACTCGCCTGGTCGCTTCGCGCTACAGGGAAGCAAGGGGCCGTGTACACGGGGGGTCCAGGGAGTCTGGACCCCGCCTTGCTCGGCGCAGAAAAACGCCTCTGAGGGGGTGTAATTTTAAAAATTTTCCCGGCAGACCCCCCTTCGCGTGCGTCGCAACTATTGGGTTACGGTTAGACCCGCCCCTGGTACAAATCCTGTACACGCCCTGCCGACAAAATTGCCAACATTGAAAAACGAACCCTCCCCAATAAAAAGCTGCTACGGCCTGTATGTGTATGTGTAATGTGGTATTGTGTATGTGTATGTGTATGTGTCTGTGTATGTGTATGTGTATGTGTATGTGTTTTGTGTATGTGGTATGTAGAATGTGAATTTGAATTTGACAGACAGTATTTACCTCCCCCCTACTTGCGTACGTGTGAACGCTCCGACTCAAACCGGCCCGAGCCAAATCTAGCCCATTTGGCCCGAGCCAAATCATGACCGTGTGAACGCGGCTCTTGTATCATGTCTCTCTGGATTTCAGCCTCCGACGTGGTTGTAGGATTTGCGTCCATGATCACTATGTCTCTCGATCTGCCTGTCCTGCTTGCCTGCCGATCTATCTGCCTGCCTGGCCTGCCTGCCTGGCCTGCCTGCCTGGCCTGCCTGCCTGCTTTCCTGCACGGCTGTCTGTCTGTATCGTTATTGTTTTTATTAATTCATTTGTAAGCCTTTCCCTTCCATTATTTACATTCGCTGATTTAGTTATCTACGTACAGGATTATTTCTCAGTTATTCGTGTGTCCGTGTGTGAATTCTCCTCGTTGCTTGTCGTTGTTCAAGGTAAATATCGTAAACATTTTAATAATTGTCATTGTAATTGTTATTGTTATTGTTATTGTTATTGCTGTTTTCAGGCAGGCGTACGGTGCTAACAAACCAGACAGGGTTTGTCTCCGATGGACCTGGAAACTATCCTGAGAGGTTCCATTGCGAATGGCTTATAGACGGTAGGTTGCGATAGCTTGCCGCTGCACCACGCTCTCGGCTATCTATCACCAACATGCCTGACCTAGACCATAATAAAAATATTGTTTGTTTGCCCTCACCCGACCGACCCGCCAAAAAGGGGCCGACTCAAAACATTTTATAGATTTTTTTTTTTTTTACAAATTGTATCACTCTGTACATTATATAAATCTGTAGGCAATACATTATATGTACCAAGCAAAACAAACAATTGGAAATTTGTAAATTGGAAAAAGTTGGAATTTGTAAAAAGACCCGCCTCAAAAAAAGAAGCCTACCTACGTACCCAAACATTTCACCCTGGGTCGGGTGAGGGCAAACAACAATATTTTTTAATTGTGGCCCTATCTGGTTCCATACCACACCAACACCGGCTCAGCGTGTGCTCTCAGTGTCCTATCCCCACGCTCTTCTGTCTTTACCCACCTCCGTCCCTACTTTCTGTCCCAACCCACCTCGTTTTCTACCCTCTCCCGCAACAAACTCTTCCTTCTCCACCCTCTTCTGTCTTCACCTGTCTTTTTCCCCACCCTCCTTTCCCACCTTCCTCTGTCCCCACTCTCCTCCTTTCCCACCTTCCTCTGTTCCCACCCTCGTCTATTCCCACCCTCCTCTGTTCCAATCCTCTTTCCTCCCCACCCTCCTCTCTCCTTACCCTCCTCTTTCCCTATCCCCTCTGTCCCCACCCTCCTCTGTCCCCACTCTCCTCCTTTCCCACCTTCATCTGTTCCCACCCTCCTCTGTTCCAAAGATAGTTAATCTTTAAGTGTTGATGGTATAATGCGCTAGGAACACCGTTTCCAGTTGGCTGATTGTGATTCAAAAGTTGCCTAATTTATAATTAATAGTAGTGTTAGTCAGTTTAAAAACTTGTGAAAACCTACGTTTAGTTTGATCTAGCTTGTTGCGAGAAAGTCGATACATTGTAGATTTTCTCGTAACGGTACGAAAAGGAGGGGTACACAAAAAACAAAGAAAGGAAAAAGTAAGGGTAACATTACAAAGAAGGAGGGGGTCGTCAAACACTGTTCTGTTCCACTAATTAAATAGTCGTCATTAAGATAAATTACGGAGCGATAACCGGTGTTGTTCTCGTTGTTTAATGCGCAGGACTGTGAGCAAGGCAGCCTTCAGTCATCGCAGTGTCCTGGCATCTGTGAGAAGCTGCGCACGTGCGAGGCGTGCACGGTGCTGGGACGCGGCGTGCAGATGGCGACGCCCTCCGTTGCCGAGGCAACGCAGGTGTCGCCGTGTCAGTGGTGGGGCCCGCGGCAGATGTGCTACTCCATCGGTGAGCGAACCGCAACGGGCGCAGACTGGCAGACGACGGTGTGTTGTCGGTCAGCGCCGCCTACCTTCACCTAGCTAATACTGTAGCAATCGAAACGTTGGGTCGTAGTAGGAGAATAGTAACTGAACTTCATACTTAGTTTATTCAGGGTTATGATGTTGGTTTCATTAAAATAATTAAATATTCGAGGGGTGCTCCACTAGGTGAAATTGTTTAGTTGTTATTCTAGAGCCAAGAGTCTCATGTACATGGCAATATTAGCTTGTAATTTATGCAGGCTTTGAATGGGATCCTATTCTAATCCAATCACACTGTCTATTTAGATGGAAACTAGGTGCAACGGGTGTATTCATGAGAGCAGGCTTCCATGCTCATCAGTGCACACAGGTGTGCTGCTGTCAGCGCTAAAGTGTAAACCGCTTCTGGTGTTTATGTCGCCTGTAGGTAACATGTACAGACGGAGGCACAGTACGCTGGCGTGGTGGGGCAACCAGACGACCCTCACTTCACTGCAGCAGTGCCGCACTAAAGACCAGTGGAGTGGACTGACGAAGCTACAGTACAGGCACCCGGCCAACTACAGTCAACCAGACTACGTATGTTGTTTGCCTCTACGTTGCTAGGAATAGCTGGGAAAAAATGACAAGGTGTAGTTGAAACGAGAAATTCGAAAAAAAGAACATCTCGAAAAAAAGTCGATAATAGATATTTGCATGAGAAAAAACTCCACCGATTGATGAGAATGGGGAGACGGGTTTCAGGGTGCACGTGTGCGTGCGTGCGTGCATGTATGTGTGTGCGTGCATGTATGTGTGTGGGTGCGTGCGTGGTTCTAATCTTTCCATTGCCTGTGACAGGTGGAAAATATTCCCGAGTCGCAGCTGGAGTTCAAGCAGAGTTCGGAACCAGGGGGCGCCCCCAAACGGGAACTCCTCATCGGAAAATACTTCACGATCATGCTCAGGGGATTCATCCACACATCAGGTAAGCAGTGGCAGCCATTACTCAGTGTAGCAGCAGTAGGATGGTTTAGCTGTGCTTAGGATATACTAAAGTATCAGAGTTTAGATATGTGTTTGGGAAAAACTAACAACGGCGACCGCCAATTTCCATAATCTGCCAAATCTTAGAAACATCCGTTTGAAAAATGTCAGAGGATGTGGGGTAAATCATTGCTTTGTATGAAATTCTTGGAATAGTAATAACATCCTTTAGGTGATAGAACATCATTATTCTGCCTTTCTAGTTGTGTATGCTGTTCGTATACGCGCAATCCACAGCCACAGCACAACGTTGATAGTGTGGCAGGAAATTAAAACGTGTCTCGCTATTCGGTCGCCGCTAACGCGTTGTCATGACGACCGTGTTTGTTGTTGCTTGGCAGCCCTGTCTCTGTCGGACCGGTACGATCACAGCGTCTGGGTGTACAGCTCCTACACCAACGTCATCGTCAACATCAGCGCCAACGCTGCCGTCCAGGTAACGCATCCCGCTGCGTCTGCTTCACGTGCGAAGCTGCGGAAATAATCGCAGATCAGTTTCAGTTATGGACGAATAGTGCTCGGTGGAGGGCTTTGCCGTTGATTGGTGTTCCTGTGACTGACAATGTGCCAGCAGTGTTGCATCGTTTATGTTACAATCAGTGATGGATTGTTGGTGTTGCGTAACTGATGTTGCATCGTTGATGTAGCATTGCTGATGTTATGTAACTAATGTTGCATTGCGGATGTTGCGTTGCTGATGTTATGTAACTAATGTTGCATCGCGGATGTTGCATTGCTGATGTTATGTAACTAATGTTGCATTGCTGATGTTGCATTGCTGATGTTATGTAACTAATGTTGCATCGTTGATGTTGCGTTGCTGATGTTATGTAACTAATGTTGCATTGCTGATGTTGCGTTGCTGATGTTATGTAACTAATGTTGCATTGCTGATGTTATGTAACTAATGTTGCATTGCTGATGTTATGTAACTAATGTTGCATTGCTGATGTTATGTAACTAATGTTGCATTGCGGATGTTATGTAACTAATGTTGCATCGTTGATGTTGCATTGCTGATGTTATGTAACTAATGTTGCATCGTTGATGTTGCGTTGCTGATGTCATGTAACTAATGTTGCATCGCGGATGTTGCATTGCTGATGTTATGTAACTAATGTTGCATTGCGGATGTTGCATTGCTGATGTTGCATAGCTCATGTTGCGCATTGCAGGAGACCGTTTCGCGGACGGGCGCCAACAGGACGGAGAGCATGTTTTGGCAGCAGGCCCACCACATGAGCGGATTGGCCGTGCTGCCCGGCGGTTCCCGTGACAACAAGCTCTACCTGAGTCTGCTGGCGTCGCAGCAGATCCATGAGGACCAGCATCCGTCGATGGTGAAGCTGGCGTGGGGCAGCAACAGGAAGGTGAGGACCGGTGTCTGTGTGTGCTTCTTACAGTGGCGACCTCACCCATCTCTCACCCGTTTGTGTTTCTTACGCTCTCTCTGTCGCTCTCTCTATCGCTCTCTCCCTCTCCCTCTTCTCTCTTTTTCTCTCCACTTCTGTCTCTGTCTCTGTCTCTGCCTCTGTCTCTCTCTCTCGCTCTTCTCTCTCTCTCTCTTTCTCTCTCTCTCTCCCTCTGTCTCTCGCTCACTC